GTTCTCTTTTAAACCTTGATCTACACTTTTTAACCAAAGAAAACGTAAGGCATCTCGTTCTTCTTCCTTTATTGAAATCATGTGGAAAGCCTTCTCGATATCGGCAACGAGAGCATAAGAATGAGATCTGAAACGATCTCCGTCGTGTTCGTGTTGTCTTGCGTGTTTGTTTCACTATAAGCCGATTTCTTGTTTCAAATCGGCTTCTACTGGCTCTGATTATTCCACGGTATTTCACTATTTTGAACACTTGATAAAGATTTAGACGTATTTGAACATAGTTAATATAGAAGACCTTCTATATTAACTATGATTTGAACTATCATCATCACATTTCCTAAGTAAATTGACTAAATTGTTAATCTTACGCCTCACCTCGATAATCTTCTCAGCAATCAATGACGACTCTTTTACCTCATATTCGATGTCTTCGATTTTTGCCTTGACAAGCACATTTTCATCCAACGATTCCAGCAACTTCCCTTTCGCTTCGATTAATCCAGTAATTATTTGTAAACATTCATATTCGTGCGATTCATTCGATACAGTTGAACTCTCTAAATGTTCTTTGACCTCTTTTCACAAGTCTTGTTAAAACTCCTCGATGTGCCTGTCGAACAGCAACAGTCCGTTCCAGACTCTGCTCAGCTTCGGTAGACAATAGACATTTCACTCGATTTCACGATAGTAGGACTTCCAAACGATCATGGGTTTCCCACGTTGCATGGGCGCCATGTAATAAAACGTTCGACTTATTCATCAAAATTCACGGCGATTTAAACAAAATATAACTTTAATTCTGTCAACCCTTGAAACCTTTCTCAAAACAACGAATACAAAACGTGACTAAACACACGACTTGCGGCCGCAATTTATTAGAGTTAATGTTTTTGTGGATACTTAGCCTGCGAACAGGCTCTCAAGCTGAATTGAGAGCCTGCATCGATTACTGATGAATTTGAATATCTGCGTCTCAAGTCGTGACGCGAAATTCTCATTGGTCAGATGCTATAATTTATATGTTTCCGCTGAGCTCTATATATGTCAACTGCTGAAGCACTATGCATAAAAAACACATTATCTGATCAAATTGGTCTTGGCCATCTTATCTCAAAGCACGAAATGTTCTGTTTTAAGAAAACAGTATTTAAAACATTTGAACTTTTACTTGAATATCTTATATTTCGTTAAACAGTATAAACTGTACGGTCTAAATTTAGTTTGCACGGTCTAAATTTAGTTTGCACGAAAGTTGTAAACAACACCATATAAGGATAGACATTCCATATTTGGAAAAACGAACGTTACGGGGCAGATATTCAAATTCATTAGCCATCGATGCAGGCTTTCAATTCAGCTTGAGAGCCTGTTCGCAGGCTAGTGGATACTTAGTGTAAACTTAATGAAACTCAAACGACCATAATACTGGTTGTTTTAACCAATTTGTTGTTGTTGTTGTTGTTGTTGTTGTTGTTGTTGTTGTTGTTGTTGTTGTTGTTGTTGTTGTTGTTGTTGTTGTTGTTGTTGTTGTTGTTGTTGTTGTTGTTGTTGTTGTTGTTGTTGTTGTTGTTGTTGTTGTTGTTGTTGTTGTTGTTGTTGTTGTTGTTGTTGTTGTTGTTGTTGTTGTTGTTGTTGTTGTTGTTGTTGTTGCTGTTGTTGCTGTTGTTGTTTTAACCAATAAAAATTGGTTAAATTAATGCGTCTGAGACAACCAATTTAAATTGGTCATTTCAACCAATCTGTTTTTACAGTGATAAGCCTTTAATTATCATTATTATATATTTTTTTTTTTTCAGGAAATGTTTTTCTTAAACATGGTTCAGAACTAAGGCTAATACCAAGAGACAGAGTGGGCAGTATATAATTTAATAATAATAAAGCTAATTCTATAGATAACTTAGACCTATTTTAATTTCTATTGAGAGAATATTTAATGTACTATTTAGCTGTTGTGCATGCCCGAATACACATGCAAAGGGTGTAATGGACATGTATGTAAATGATATATATACTACAATTGAACATATTTTATAAGCGATATGATCTGATACTCTCGGTTACATCCTGATGTTGCGGCCCCAACAGACACTTCCCGAATTTCAGGGTGTTAGTGTAGTAGCTACGGTAAAGAATTCCGCGTTATACGCTCTTTTCACAATCTAGGTCCGCCAAAAATATCATGACCATTCTGAAAAAGAATTACAGTTGATTTCACATAACTTTTCCCTAAATGTAGAAAACTTCGTTCCAAAGTTCGTTGCGAAGTTCAAAAGTTCATAATCATACTCAAAAACTGTTTGTAAACAATGCATTTGATTGGCTTCTTTTAGTTCAGGGACCAATCAGAGGCTTTGTTTACAATGCAGCTTGTGAATTTCAAGATTGTTCAACTTCACAACTTCGAGTGTTGGGAAGAGAACATCTATAGCCTAAAATATATTTGCCTGAGTGTTTTTATTATCCAAAACAATGTCAGTTGACTTGCAATTTAAAGGTTTCAATTTTGCTCAGCCAATCAGCACCTTTCGCTGGGCCACGAGAATGCCATTCGTTAAGTATATTTCTTAATTAACTCGGGGTCTAAATGTCGCGGGCTAACCGAATTTCCCAATTTCATTAAATTACCGGATTTTTTCTTCCAGACAACACCCTGAATTGCTCCCGGATTTTTTCTTCCGGACAACACCCTGAATTGCTCAAGTGAACATGAAAAATAGGTTGAAATTGAGACGGACAATGTAATCCATTGTAAATAAGTGTTTTCATTCAATTCATTGCGAGCTAGCAAATTTGGGAAGTGTCAAGTGTTTTATTTTAGTGTCAATTACAGATTTCACATAAGCGTTCTTCCCGGGGTATATTTTGGTATAGCCCGATCTCAATTTGGAGGTTATGGCTGCTGACTCTAAAACGTGAAAGACATTTTCTCTTGTATGGGTCTTTTATAAGTATTAAGTATTTTTCGAGGTTGTGGTCCGTTTTGAATGTTGAATAGAAAGTTAATTTGGATGAATTTTCAAGTTCATGTTTCCAGAATGTCAAGTATTTTTCCTCAAGGGTTTTGGTAATAGCTTCAATATGCTTAGACGTTACGGCTTCCAGATTAGGGATTTCTTCATTTAGATTTAAATTTTTGATTGTATCCATTGCATTTCCGTAAAAGGAAGTTTTCTTCTGCCTAGAGTAGAGATCTTTCGAGATTAGAAATGCTTGCTTTGCAATGGCTGTTTCGCGAAGTGATGTATTTGAAGACCCTTTGAATACATTGATAATAACAGGCAGTTTTCCAAGTTCAGCTCTGGAAGCAATGTTACTTGCTTTCCTATAGGCTCAGATTCCAGCCGTTGTGTTCTCGCCACTCGCCCACTTAGCTTTCCTACTGACAGCGAGGTATATTTTACAGAACTTAAAATGGACTTTTTGAATTGGTAACTTGTCCCAATTGTTGAAATCGTTTTTCACGTATGTCCCCCATACTTCAGAGTTGTATAGTAGGATCGAGCTTATAATAGAGTCAAATATCTTAATGGCATATTTGGGATTGAGGCTTTTGGGATAGAGGGGGTGTGGGAAGTGTAATATACTCTCCCCCTCTGGCCCCTCACCACCACCACCATTCATCACAGATTCGGCAAATGTCTGCTAGACTCGGCAAATTGTTTTCGGATATATCCGGAAATTGTTTTCGTGGTGAACGAAAATATTTGAGTGGCTGGGAATAAAAAGTAATAGTTATAACGAAAATGTTACTAGATTTACGAAAAATTATGGAAAAAGTTATGTATAACAATTAAGCCACGATCGATATGTCCGGAAAAATTTTCGTATCTCGGGAAAAATTACGATATGTCGGTAAAAATTTTAGTATTTTCGGAAAAATTATGATGTCGGAAAAATTATGTATTGCCTAGTTGATGAGGCCGTTCATATCAAAAGCGGGATAGAAACACCGAAGACAAGATATGAAGCTATTACATTTTTTATACTATGCCGGTCTACGCGGAAATTAGTTAGCGCTGCTGGCCGAAGAAAGAAGACGTAGCTACACTCTGTTCAGTCTGTTGGACTCGGGTTTGTTAAAAAATACTCATTTAGGAAATTAGGTAACCTTAGTTAATTACAGAATTAATATTTTTATATTAATTGTAGCACATTGGGTTTTATTGACTCAGGTAATTGGGAGCTGCAGCCCCCACATCGGCGATAGAAATCGTAACAGATATGTCGGGAAATTTTTTTGTATTTTCGGAAAAATTAAGATTGTTCGGAAAAATTGGGATATGTTACGAAAAATTTTTGTATGTCCGGAAAAAAATTTGCGACCTCCCCTGCTCGCCAACAATTTTGGGAAAAGAAATATTAATTAGCGGTTGTAGTGACTCGGCAAAATTAATTACACCCCCCAATAGGCGATTCCCCCATAGATATCTTATATACACTAGATAGCGCATCTCTTTTAGTAAAATTGAAGCAAAGAATATTCCAGCGGTTACCCCCATTTGAATAGATGGCGGCCATGTTGGAGTTTCCCACTCGCTAATAAACCCTTAAAAAACAACAATAACTTTCACCATTTGAATAGTTTGAAAATGTATTTGGAATAGGTTTAACTTGATGTTTAAGTTCCCTGTTTAAGAGATAGAAAACATACGAGTCTTCTCATTTCATGGGAATATCCTGAGTCTGCAATCACGGCTTCAATTTTTGAACTGCAGAATAATTAGATACACTATTTAGTGTATATATAAGATATCTATGGATTCCCCTTATTACGTTTTCGTAGCGCTTTGCATTGTGGTTATAGTGGTTGTTTTTACCAGTCCTTTATGCAGATCAGATGTTCGAATTCTAGCTGACTGCCGTTTATAGTGTTACACATACGTTTTTGAATGTATCTCTCCAGTTCGCGTCTTTTATTCGCGTCAATAAAACCGAGTTGTTCATGCCTTTTTAACGCATCTTTAAAGCCTTTCATGTACTTGTTCAATAGTTTTTCAAATTCCGTATCACAGCAGACGTAATTGGATCGTTTAAATAGACCTTTCTGGGAATAATTTTGAAAATTTAATGCAATAGCATTATCAACATTTCCTGACTCAATATTATTTTGTTGAGTTAATCTAAACTCTACACTCCGAGTTGTATCAAGTATTCCATGGATAGCTTTCGGGATAGTTATTGCTGGTAGCAGGTTTTCACCCGGTCTTTTTCCAGATTTATTGCTTTCAAATAGCTTTTTCACAGCTTCATTACGACAGCCGTTCTGTTTATAAGCCTCATGAAAAGCATTATGGGGCGGGAAATGGTCACTTTCGACTTCACCTTGCAACGACCACTTTTTTGTGTCCTTATGTGCACCTCCCTGGCCTAAACAATCGAATACCGTCGCGTGTAATATGGCTTGAAATTTCTCCTTTTTGAGAATGGTAAGTTTATCCCTCACGCACAGTTCAGTTAAACATGGCACACGACATCGCCTGTGATTTTCCCAAATTTTAACATTATTCGACAATATCAGTTCGGACTCCTTACCTTCATTGCACTCAAAAATGTATTCTTCCAATGTGTTAACTCTGGTTTCATCACACGTTCCACGTATGATACTTCCCAATGATATAGGAACAAAATTTCGTATCTCTTCATTAATGCTCTCATGGCTTTTCAGAATAGCAACAACTTCACCTTTTAAATTGAATAACGGCGCTCCACTCGCTCCTGGGCCCGCACGTATGCGATATCGTGACTTTAACAACATAAATTTCCCTTCGATTCCTTCTCTTTCGCCACTACTCACTTGCTTATGATTTCCCTCGGCATAATGAATAAGAATGGCGGTAGACATGTCACTATCGTTTTCATCAAGGCATGGGGAAGGAAATCGGTTTGCTCTATTTAGCACGCATTCACTGTCTGTATTATTTAAAATTACTACAGCGGCGTCGCGGTTACGATCAAATTTAATAGTAGGATCTTGCAAAACGATTGTAACTTGTTCAGCGTTAACTCTACCCGGTTTCGTCCTGATGGCTTGATAGTTTTGTTCCAGCATAATTTTAATATTTGCATTACTATCCTGAATTACATGAGCCGCTGTGACAAGCATTAGCTGTGTTTTAGAAAACTTGATCAGTATTCCACTTCCAGTAGTCACTTGTCTGTTTGCCTCTGTCGTAGATACAACTTGAACACATGCCTCGTGATATTGAAAAAATGTATTTGAAAAGTTATGCCCTAGGATAGACACCGTCTCTCTCTCATCAACGGCAAATTGGGCGGCTAAAAAGTTGACATTCTGTTGTTGAATAGATAGTTCAGAATATGCTGTCTCCACAGGTGCACCCGCACTGCTATCATAAAAATTCCACGCAACTACGCCATGGCGGTCAGGCTCTTCGTTCGCTCTCGTGTCTATTTCAACACTGTTGGTTATAACAATACTTACGGCCGGAAGCATCTGAAAATTCATTACGCCAAGAATCTTAAATTCTCCATTGCAAACGATCAGACGACGCTTTTGCTTGTGCTTTGTTATTTTGTTATTGCTATCTTTGATCGAAATATTAGAGCACGGTTATTACTCCAGGTGACAAAAAATTAACGTGTCCATATATAGAGTTTGTTATCATGATCTCCTTGACTACTAAATACATCACGAATTATCTCGTATAATATTGGGTACCAAGCTGGGCGTTGGACGCCAAACATGCAGGATTAGGATAAAGCGTGGATACGGACGGACGGACGGACGGACGGATGGTTGATATTCTCGCTAAATGTTATTTAACAGTCATTTTCAAAAATCATTAATAATTCAGGAGGAAAACACAAACAAAAGTCATAAGCGTGTCGTGGTTTTATGTGTGATATAAAAAATCTTGTTAATTTACATAAACTTTAGACAAAGTTTATTTTAAAAATTACTTTCGCCAATGAACTCGTATAAAATGAGTCGTTTTTGAAGCCATTTAAAGCACTTGTAGTCGTGTTTTATCACATATAAAACACTCCGCTACGCGTCGTGTTTTTTTATATGTGATAAAACACACTCCTACGCGTGCTTTAAATAGTACATCCGCGTTTTTAGAAAACGTTTTCAGCCCTTTATAAGACATATCCGCGTTTCATCCAAAAGGATGAAACGCGTCCAAAATACATTTTTCAGCCCTTTATAGGTCATTTGGAAAACTTTTTCGACCCCTTTGTAAGTCATATCCGTGTGTTTCATCCAACGCGGATATGGTTGACAAATGAACTTATAACAAGTGAATGTATGACAAACTGAATTCATTTTCGCTTTGAAAGTAATGAAATAGAATAGTTAAGCTTTGTAAATCTCTCAAATAAAGCTAGCTAAACCAAATACTAACCGTCAAATTCAGGGCAGGGTTAACGTCGCGCGAGGCCCGTGGCAGATTTTCAGCGCGAGGCCCTAAATTTTGCCTCTGCCATCGAAGGGCATTTATTTCCGTATTTGCCATCGCAGGGCTTTTCCCTTCAAAGTGCCCTTGGTCATCGAACGGCTCTTGCCATCGAAGGGCCTTTGGCTTAAAGTGCCCTTACCTTTGCCTTCGAAGGGCTTTTCCTTTAAGCCGACGCTCCACTAATAATGCTTCAAACTACTCCATCGCCTTTACCGCTGCAACATCCTCCTACCTAGATTCTCTGTTAATGCAACACCCTCCGATCCAGCCGTACCAAGACCCGTTCGTGAACTTATTAAGATAAAGGCAAAAGCAGTTTAAAGGCAAAGGCTGTAACAAGCAAACATCCTCTTTACAATGCGCTATTAGACTTTCCCTCCAAGCACCCCACTATACATTCTACGCATCTCGCTTAGAAGCTTGGACACGATACAACAACGCTTCCACATATTTATGTCGCATCAGGAAAGACTAAATGCATGCTGGTAGGCTCAAGACAGAGACTACAACAATCTTCAAGTAATCCTCAAATAGTTATTGGCAACCATATTATACAGCAGGTCTCAAGTAAGAATGTTCTTGGGGTCATTATCGATGAACAGTTGAAGTGAGAAGAACATAACGATGCACAATGCAAAACAATTTTCCAGTCAATTGCTTTCTTTAGAAGAGGAAAACAATTTGTAAGTCAAGATACACTTCAAAACATGTTTAATCAATGCACTTGTCTACCTCATTTCACATACTGTTCGAATGTAATATGGTATGATGGTAGTTGTGCGCATATTGAAAAACTATACAAGTTGCATAGCGAGCTGCTCGAGTGATAACGGGTTCAAATTATGAAATAAGATCAACAGAGATATTTGAAAACTATTAGGTTGGAAAAAAATTGGAATTATTCTTAAAGTGCCTATATCACTTGCGGAATCGGATCTTTACGAATTGGGAAACAGCACAAAAAGTTAGCTAATAAGTTCTTCACCTTTTTTTATTTAGCTCAATAGTTTCCGAGATATAGGCCCTCAATTTTGACCTTTTAGCGAAAAAGGTTTGGGCCCTGGGACTCAGGAACGCGAGCGTAAACAAACACCATAGATTATATTATTACAATTTGCTGTATAAACTTACTAAAATAAAAATTTTTGCAAGAAAAGTCGATTTATTTACTGGCAAAAGTTGTTGGTGAAACGTACAAAACGACTTCAAAATCAAATTTAAAAGTGAGCCTTCCTGAATGGTAGTAATGTACCTATGCCTTTCAAATAATCCACAAACCAAGTACTTCCCACATGGGTGCCACGAAGCGAAATAATTTTGGCCAACGGCCTAATACGTTTTGTTGGTTCAGTTATGTGTCGTTAATTATTGAAAAAAAACCTATAAAATTTGATAGAGGCAAGGAATATGCAGGATTTGATTTTGTTTGCCTGAATTGCCTTTGATCTGATCGTTTGAAAACCTGTGTTGCACAAACATGTGGTTGAGCTGATTCAAAGGAGAAGTAATTTTTGAGCCTTAACTTAATATTCTTATAAAATTTGCACTTCATGGTTGTAAAAAAGATAAAATAATACCATTGTGTTCTTCTGTTTACCAAACTAGCTGCAGCTTTTAATGGGAAAGATGATGACTTCGAAGGGTATGAATATTTGGAAGAAGAAAAATAAGAAATATAATTCTAAAGCGCGATTAATCACAATTATTTTTCACCCTGCTAGGTTTCCTTTGTTTTTATCGGGGAATATATTCAATATTCCCCTCTAATCAATCAATTTCCTCTAATAATCCCCTCTAATATTCACTTGCAATGTCTTTGCAGCACAAAAAAAATGAGAAAAAACATCACGAAGGCAATATGGCATTAAGAATTATTTCTATTCTGACTCATTAACGCGATCTCGCAATGTGAAAAATAAGTACGTTATTTTGAGGCACCTCGGGGATATATGATTTATCTCGTTGCCTCAAAATAGCCTATACATATGGTTTTCGGTATGTATAATATTTGTATCATTCGAAGACAAAATGTTATCTTTATAATAAAAAAGATCTCTTCTTGATCGACCTTTTCAGTGTCAAAGTTTCCGGATATGATGTCACTAGGTGAATTGCAAATTAGTTTTCCTTTGTTTTTTGTACCAATATTCACCTAATGACATCATATCCAGAAACTTTGACAATGAAAAAGTTGATCAAGATGAGGTTTTCTACCATAACGATACATTACATTTCTTCTTAGAATGACACAAATATCACACAAACTAAAAATTATATTTGAGGTTAGTCCAAATTTAATTAACGAATGCTTGATATATTTAAAGTTTGTTCGTTTCTCTCTCTCACTCTTGTAGAACACATGTTTGTATGAAAGGCAATATATTTTCTAAATAATTTCTTTGTTCGTTGCTTTCTTGGGTAAAATAAAGGTTAAGACAAGTTAACGATCGCGTCCAATGTTTAATTTCTAAACAGTTGGAATTTGGGGAGATCTATATGTGACATTTTACTGGCCATGTTTAATATCTAAGCAGTTGAAATTAAACTATGTACATTTTGTAATGTGTTAGGGTATAAAATTATTAGAATATATTAAATCTGGAAAATTGATTCAAATACAGTGGCGGACACAAAATATTGGGGGGAGGGGAGGTGGACGAGTTAGGTTGCTAACATGTGTCCACTTTTCATAGCTGGAATCTTTATCTTCAAAATGTTTTAATATGAGCTCCCCCCTGCCAGTGCAGCTTCAATATCTGTATTACCAACCCCATTTTATATGACTTGGAAAATTTATGATTAACCCCAGTTCATAGCCCACCCCCACCAATACTTTCTGATGAGTCCTTTATGTAGATCCGCTTTTTTAGCTGTATGCTTTTGTATTTTGTGTTATTTTTCGTAAGTTCTCGAATGTATCTCTCCAGTTTGCGTCTTTTATTCGCGTCAATAAAACCGAGTTGTTCATGCCTTTTTAACGCATCTTTAAAGCCTTTCATGTACTTGTCCAATAGTTTTCCAAATTCCGTATCATGGCAGACGTAATTGGATCGTTTAAATAGACCTTTCTTGGCATAATTTTGAAAATTTAATGCTATTGCATTATCAACATTTCCTGGCTCAATATTATTTTGTTGAGTTAATCTAAACTCTACACTCCGAGTTGTATCAAGTATTCCATGGATAGCTTTCGGGATAGTTATTGCTGGTAGCAGGTTTTCACCCGGTCTTTTTCCAGATTTATTGCTTTCAAATAGCTTTTTCACAGCTTCATTACGACAGCCGTTCTGTTTATAAGCCTCATGAAAAGCATTATGGGGCGGGAAATGGTCACTTTCGACTTCACCTTGCAACGACCACTTTTTTGTGTCCTTATGTGCACCTCCCTGGCCTAAACAATCGAATACCGTCGCGTGTAATATGGCTTGAAATTTCTCCTTTTTGAGAATGGTAAGTTTATCCCTCACGCACAGTTCAGTTAAACATGGCACACGACATCGCCTGTGATTTTCCCAAATTTTAACATTATTCGACAATATCAGTTCGGACTCCTTACCTTCATTGCACTCAAAAATGTATTCTTCCAATGTGTTAACTCTGGTTTCATCACACGTTCCACGTATGATACTTCCCAATGATATAGGAACAAAATTTCGTATCTCTTCATTAATGCTCTCATGGCTTTTCAGAATATCAACAACTTCACCCTTTAAATTGAATAACGGCGCTCCACTCGCTCCTGGGCCCGCACGTATGTGATATCGTGACTTTAACAACATAAAATTCCCTTCCATCCCTTCTCTTTCACCACGACTCACTTGCTTATAATTTCCTACGGCATAATGAATAAGAATGGCGGTAGACATGTCACTATCGTTTTGATCAAGGCTTGGGGAAGGAAATCGGTTCACTCTATTTAGCACGTTTTTACTGTCTGTATTATTTAAAATTACTACAGCGGCGTCGCGGTTACGATCAAATTTAATAGTAGGATCTTGCAAAACGATTGTAACTTGTTCAGCGTTAACTCTACCCGGTTTCCTCCTGGCTTGATATTTTCGTTCCAGCATAATTTTAATATTTGCGTTACTATCCTGAATTACATGAGCCGCTGTGACAAGCATGAGCTGTGTTTTAGAAAACTTGATCAGTATTCCACTTCCAGTCACTTGTCTGTTTGCCTCTGTCGTAGATACAACTCGAACACATGCCTCGTGATATTGAAAAAATGTATTTGAAAAGTTATGCCCTAGAATAGAGTGTCCCTATATGTCGTGTGTCGTGTGTCGTGGGTTAAAAGTCGTGTGTCGTGGGTAAAGTCGTGGGTAAAGTCGTGGGTAAAGTCGTGGGTCATAAAATGTGCTAAAAACGCATTTTTTCGTATTTTTATTTTTAATATTTT